AGCGGATAATCAGAAGTATGAGAGAGGATGGATAACTAGAGGATCACCGGGAGGAAGGATGCAGTGACCAGCGCTCCGGATGTCCAAGTTTACGGAAATCCTTCGGAAAGTGATGGCAAAGTTCGGCGGTGGGTGAGATGAGGTGAGGTGAAGCTTGGTCAGAGGTGAGAGTTGAATTTGATGTGAGACTTGAGTCTGTGGTGAAAGGTGGAACCCGAATTACGTATTCAGAACTGATAAAAGACACGGATGCTTGAGAGAGAGAGAGAGAGAGAGAGAGAGAGAGAGAGATAGATAGAAAGAGGGAGGTGGAAGATGTGATAAAAAAAATATATACGAACAAAGATAAACAGGAAGGAGAGACGGAGAAAAAATATTGATCTTCATAATGACATCAAATACCGTCAAAAACAAAAGAACAATTGCAAAGAGAACAAAAGAACAACCGGTAATAACATCAGGTGGCAGAAACATAAAAACGCACATACAGTGGCAGAAACATAAAAAACGCACATAGTGGCAGAAACATAAAAACGCACATACAGTGGCAGAAACATAAAAACGCACATACAGTGGCAGAAACATAAAAACGCACATACAGTGGCAGAAACATAAAAACGCACATACAAAAGAAAAACAAGGCACAAGCAGTCAGGGAAAACTAATGTAGGAAAAATCAGAAGGAAAAGAAGTATCATTGGTATTGGTGACTAGATAAAAAATCTTCAGATTACGTTTCGCCCAGTACTGAGCGAAAATTCTCAATTTTAAGATTATTTACATTACCTGTCTATATAACTTGAAATAAGCAAACATTGGATAACAAATGGGAGTCTAAAAGGAAATATAACACGAGGAAAATGTGAATAAAAATAGAAAACGAGAAGGAAGCGCAAAATATTACTAGACAAACGAGAGAGCACGATATCCACAACAACTAGAAAACAATACAAAAGTCGAACAGCCTACAATAATGAACAAAAGCCACACCTTACAAAACTTTTTTTTTCGGGACATAATTTCGCTCTGTGCAGATTCTAATCAAGTCACAGCACATAGTGAGAGAGGGACAGAAAAGGTCGAGCAAATAAACAGGGAAGGCAGGAGGTTGAGGTGTGTGTGTGTGTGTGTGTGTGTGTGTGTGTGAGAGAGAGAGAGAGAGAGAGAGAGAAAAAAACCTTCACTACACCACAATACGTCCAGATGCCCCAAGGCACGATGGGGGGAGACAGAAAAGAGAGAGATGTGGGGGTAGTGGGAGCAAGCGTAAGAACAAGCAAGCAAGCAAACCAGCCGAAGCCGCTGACAAACGGGGTATCCAAAGGTTAATTATTAAGAAGGTTTGAAACCGGGCAAGGATCTCGTCGCCCCTCCGATCGTCAAAGGAAACCGAATACAAGAAGGAATAATTTACAAGTTGATGAGTGCAGGCCGGAATAAAACACCTGTTGATGGATACAGCCAGAAATCTGTTGTTGGCTGATGGATATGGAAAGGAATCTATCGCCGACTGGTAGATGTAGGCAGAAATTTGTCACCCGGCTGATGGATACAGCCAGGATACAGTTTGAATATAGCAGGAATCAGGCGTTATTAGCCGGATAGAACATGGAATAAATCACTGATAGTAATCACCCATCAGTAGGGGTACTTTTACTTGTGACCTATTTCGAGGGTGCTTTCACTAGGGATTTTATACCGATATGGTGCCGATACCTCCGATGCCGATACTTTCTCACATACCTTGCTGTTTTTTTTCCTAGTAAAATTTCGTTTATTTGCATATTTATTTCATTTATTTATCTCGATCAGGTACATTCATGGTTACCTGAAATTTTTTTTTCTTCCTCTACTATTGTCGTTTGAGATTACCTCATCGAATCGGCTTTAAATTCTATGCTGATGTACTGTAACTAAGGAAAAGTTTATATAACTACTGGCGTAAACAGGTGTCCTCTAATGTTATATAGACCATTCTGGGCATTGGTTCCCTTGAGAAAGCTACTTCTGGTTGGGTTGGCTTCAAACTTGTAATGCTGGTGCACGTAACTTTGATAATAGTCCCAACCTCCTTCTGTGTGTGGAAGTGCCAGCTTGTCAGTTTAGTTTTTTGAAAAGTGGTGTATTTACCATGAAATATCTCGACTGCCTCATCTGAACGCCTTCAGTTCCTAATGGGTGATGATCCTTTTGACGAGGATTGTATCCTATGAGTTTAGGCTTCGTAGATTCAAATTTGTCGGTATACTAAAATAATTATAAAACACTTGAATCAGTTTCAGAGCGATAATTGGAGAATACCTTTTCCGGTCAGTTTCGGACTTTTATCGATGGTATGTCTTTCTTAAAGAAAAGTTTAAAATTTAAGTAGGCTTTGTGGCTCCAGTTTGCAAATTCTATTTGTAATTTCTAGAGCGCTAAGAAAGCTGATAATTTAAAAAGGTCCTCTGCATCTGGGGATGCTTAGTTACTATACTTCATGAGTGGGTTGAGGTAGAGGAAGCCGGAGTTGATACGGGGGATGCTTTTTCTCGGATCACGCAGAGACCCCTATAGAGGGTCATGCAACGCTTAGGAAATGGAAGGTATTTAAACTTGGTCCAAGGAAGATGATAGTTCCACCTCACCGGTATCAATGCACTCCAGGTGAAGTACCGGCGTCAGAGCCGGCGAGCGGCTCCGACCGAAGAGGAGGCTGTGACCTCGTACGTTGATGTAGCGATCACTAGCGACGCCCGAATAGTGTCTTGGCTCGAGGGAAAATGTTTCTTTTATATAACCACAGGAATTTCACAGCTTTTGTGTCAACAATGAGATGAACACACATTCTGGCAGCGACGGGGCAGGAGTTGACCAGCCTCCACCACTAGTACGAGGAATCAACATATCTCACTTTCTCCTTCCTCACTTTCTTACCGACTTCTCCTTCCTCACCCTCCTCTTCCTTTACCCTCGCACCGATCCCTCTTCTTCCCTCACCCTTGCACGGATTCCTCCTCTTGCCTCACCTTCGCACCGACTCCTCTTACCTCACCCTCGAACCAACTCCTCTACCTCCCCTTTTCCTTTCCACCCTCACGCTCCCCCCCCCCCTTTCTCTCTCTCTCTCTCTCTCTTCTCTCTCTCTCTCTCTCTCTCTCTCTCTCTCTCACCCTTTTGCCTTTTTTCTTTTTATTTACATACGAGTTTTACAGTACAAGGTTTGGAGTTCCTACCTTCATTTACAAGCTAAGAGCAGTCCCTTACCTCAGCTTAGTTACAACTTCCTTAAATTACACTCTTTCTATTACTCCCTCCTCCCTCAGCTGCGCCATCTTCCATGCTTTACTTGTAATGCGATATTTGGTTTCTGCCTAATGTGTAAATTTAATGCAGCAATTGCAGTTTTTTTTACTACACCATTTGTATACACAGGAGAACATTGCCCCATCCATACTGGAGCTATTTAACACCATACGAGAGATGGGTTAATGTGGATTGAGCAAGGTGGTGCTGGGCAAGGCTGGGAGGTGCCGAGCGGGGTGGTGCCGAGCGGGGTGGTGCCAAGCGGGGTGGTGCCGAGCGGGGTCGTGCGAGGCAGGGCGGAGGTGCAGGGCTCGTACGATTTAGGGAGGGGCTTGGCGGTGCGAGGAGGGGCCAGCACCCAGGATAATAAGCCTGGATAAACTGGTCCTTGAACATAAGCAAGCGGGGCCCAGACACCGGCCTCGTGTAATTGGGATGTCGAGCAAACACAACATTAAATCCCATTCAGAGTCCGGTTATGATCAGAGGTTTTGATATCCCATTGAAAAAAGAGCGACACTCGGGTAACGATTAATACATCCCTTTATCGTGAGAGCTTTAGTGAGTGGGTGGGGGGGAGGGGAGAGAAGGGCGGATGTGTTGGGCGGCAGACGATCACCCTCGACCCTCTGCCGCCCGGCCACACGGCCCCCATGGGACGGAGTGGGATACGCCCTGGGAGAGAGGAGGGCGGTCTGTACAGGGGCAACGGTGCATGGTGGGCCCTACAATGGAGCTTCCGGTGGGGTGCTTCTACCTGTTGCCCTTCATCACACGGGCTCGTAACTACTGTCTACCTGTCGCAACCACTCCACACAAACCCCTCCTACCTATCCTCCTCACCCACCCTACCTATCCTCCACTTGTTCCCAAACATGTGTAATGACCTATTTGTAGGCACAAGAGCAACACACAAAAGCTATCGTTTGTTCATTAGTAAAAGTATTTGCATATGGACTGTTTCTCCTTGATCCCATACACAATAGTTTGCTAACACCGAGGCTCCTGTTCACTGCTATTAATCCTAGAATTGGAAGTCTTTTTCTTGGGTGGAGCAGGATTATCTTTCCTTCCCAAGGCGCTGTGTGACCCTTGTGGCTTTAGCACTTCTCCATGAATATAGTATTAACAATTACTTATTGGTAGGTGAACAGGGGCAGCAGGTGTGCGGAGACTTTACCATGTATCTCGCTCTATCCAGGGGAAAAGAACCCGTGCCATTATGACACACTCGGATGCTCAGTGAAGGGCTCTAAATCAAAAATTGAAGCAACCGCCTTTTTCCGATAAAGTTTGTCATCCCTACGGATTTCGCGCCATCCAATTTATATATTACACAAACTGGAGTGTTTTCTCCTCAACATTAAATGCATGTGAAAAACCTGACTGTACGAGCAAGCTATCACATGCTCTGCTGTGACTATTTCGTCACTAGTCCAGTATTAATGCTATAGTCATGCGCTTCCTTGCTAGGAAAAAAATTATCCTTAAAACTAATATCGTTTAGTATACACACACAAAAAAAAAACTAGTCTACGTTAATTAATCTACGAAAGTACCTTAACGGTACATGAACCAAGATGCAACGTTAGTGGTCAGGTTTAGTAGTAACATTCACTACGTAATTAGAGTGAGTGAGAGGGAGGCACAGATACACGAGGCAGGCATCACCACAAGAGCTACATCTACAAGGAGAAATACAGGACTTATCTTACCGTTCCTGCTCCACACCCTTCTTCTGTTGTCTGAAAGTCGATACGAAAAGTCTTCAGTGAAATTCATAAAAGTTTCGCACATCTTTCCTTAAAAAATCTAATACAATTAGCAACAACAATATTTTACGAATCTCCGGTTACTACTTGCAATCGCTCAACAATCCTCCCGCAATAAACTTCAGTCTGTCTAATTAATGAGTTACGTTCAGATTAGCCTTTTATATTTTCTTCGAGGTATGGAATACAGAGGACTTGGCAGAGCCCAAGACGTGACTTTTGCACTCTCGTTTTCAGTATTCCCAACACAATTTTAAAAGACTTTCTCCTAACGTGGTTAAACCAGGTAAGATGTCTTCTTTCGGCAGTTAAACAAAGAGGTTTTCTTTTACTCTCCAGGGATACGTAAAAACTTTTTTCCAGTAAACTAAAAGGAATTCCTCTTGACTTTTATGTAGATTGAATGAAATTCTTCTTGAATCTCTTGAAGACTTATCGAAACTTTTTCTTGACTTTTAGGTAAACTAAGCGAAACTCGCGTAAAATCTCTACACAATATCCTGTGAATCAGGAACACATCAAGTACATAAAAGCACGACAGTTGCTCCCTGCGTGGGGTTATCTGCGCTGTGGTGAAGTTCAACACCGTCCGTGGGAGGCTGACCAATAAATCACGTCTGCCGAAGCTCTCTCTCCTCGCGTCGTGTGCGTGCGTGTGAGTGTGCCCGCGCGCGCGAGTGTGTGTCGGCAGCTCGGGGCCCCAGGACGCGCGATCCAGCTCAATTAATGCTTTTGTGTGACACGCGGACGACCAGCCAAGTTCTAGGCGAACGCGGTTACCGGTTTCTCACTTCCCTTGAGAACTTCCTCTAATATTTTCTTTTCTCTACTTCCTGCTGTTGCGAGACGATGCATGTAAGGAACCTGACATTTATTACTTATTCAAGAGTCCCTCGTTGGAAAATAAATTCTTCTTTGAATATTAATAGGCCGGGAAATGGCAAGAATGGGCAGCGAATGGCAACTGATTAGGGGGGCTGTCAGTCATTGGTCGCGCAGAAAGAGTGACCCCGCAGGAACCTCTGACGTCACTATCAAGGGGCGGAGTTTAAAGAGAAAACAAAAGGCAAACGGTAATCAGACGCATATGATGATGAAGTTACGTATCGCTCTCACAAACGCTCCTGTTAATCCCTAAAACCCAGTTTCATAAGTCTCCTTCCTCACGAACAGTCATTTAAATCCTCCTTTCCACCTTCAACACTTCCAAGCTTAAATGAAGTAATTTATATAAGCAATAAATAATAATGTATTTCTGGGACCAGTACTAAAAAATTTTCAAGAGAAGGTGCGCGCACAACCAATTTACGTGGAGGAAAATATTTGGAAGCAAGTACTTGAGGCCACAGCACTTCTGTTTGCTTGGTGAGATACCTTGTGACATACCTGTGACGAGTTTCTGAAATATTTCTCCTCTCGTAGCCCGACATAATTCCAGGTAACCACGGCGACAGCCTGATGGAAATTTAGTTCGCCCTTAAGGGACACGTCAGTTCCCCTGTCTTCTAATAATGTTATTTTTCCCTTATAATTTACCTTGTCCATAATTACTATCGCATTTGCCCTGTCTGCTTTCGTAAGGTGAAGTCTAGGATCTTTCCTTAATTCGTGGTATAACTTAAATCTTTGAGGACAATTGTATTGCAGAAGTCTGAGCAGTCAGACCTCTGCAACACACTTGTCCTCAAATATTTGTTAAGTTATACCATGATTTAAAGAAAGATCCTAGACTTCACCTTACGAAAGCAGACAGGGCAAATGTGATAGTAATTATCGACAAGGTAGATTACAGAGGAAAAATAAACTTGATATCAGGAGACAGGGAAACTCACACACCTCTTATGGCTTCTAATATTGTACCCTGAATGTAGAAGACCTCAGAAGAGGTGCCTTGATATTGTTGAGACATTCTTGATTCAAGGAATTGGATCTGTTGTTACTTGGAATGAACTTAATTGCCTGTTATTCCATAGGCGCTGTATGACTCAAGAGTATACTCCCCCACGAGTATACCTCCCTATGAATATAGTCTTAAATCTGTTGCCAGTGTTAACATCTTGGAACACTGATGTTGACACGGTGTTCTCTAATTGTATTTTATGGTACTCAGAATAGTTTTTTTCCCATCACCTTCTTTCTGTGCGTCGCACTTCAGTAAGACTTTATTTTTGTCTGCAAGCAACAAAAGCCTGACTGAACATGAAGAGGGCTGCAGTTAGCAGACGGAGGATCAAGTCTCCAACACTCATTATTAACCTGCCCTTGGAATATTTTTTTTGCTGATTGTGAATCTCTCTCTCTCTCTCTCTCTCTCTCTCTCTCTCTCTCTCTTCTCTCTCTCTCTCTCTCTCTCTCTCTCTCTCTCTCTCTCTCTCTCTCTCCAGCACTAAAGACTAGAAAATATTTTGATGTGATCAAAGTAATGTAGTTTACATGTGTATGTTTACAGACTTGGATGCTCTACTTGGCTTGATAGAATCTAAACCCGTAAAGACCATCCAGCATTGATGGAGTTAAATACAGGACGATGTTCGAAGTAAAAGTACAAGTGTTCATATCTTGTCCTGTTATATTCCTGTCATTGCATAATACATCTTTTATGCTTTCCAAATGTTTGACATATTTCCATAAATATATCTGACTGTATTTTGTATCCTGTGCTCGACTTTTTGATACTGTGGTAGCCTTTAGTCATCATGTTTTCGTAGCTTATCGAGGTTATGTACTGTCATTTAATGTAACTCAGTTCAAAGGACGCAGGTGAGCAGTTATTTTCTTGCTGGAATTAGAATTATCTTTCCCATCCTTGGATTCTGTCTGATTACCTCCCAGTCCTCAGGCACATTCACATGAGTATATCTGTGTTAATGTACGTGTTAATTGCCCCTGGGTCATCGTCTTGAGGCCTGATCTCAACCCAGGTCTCCTCTAATGGGAAGCAAAAATTTCAGCAATAAAAACTACTGAGACAGGCATAATAAAGTGTACACTGAATGAGTAAACTTTTGTAAGATTTACCTTTTTTTCATGTTCATGAGGGATAAAGAAAACACCGGCAAATCTGCCAAAATTCACATTCATAGGAGATGACGACGGTACCTCACTACCACATGATGATTTCCAGCTCGTTCACAAAGAGATGACACAAATTTATAGATTACATTTTTGACAGTGTTTACAGTGAAGATGAGAAAGGCAAAGATAGAAAGACTGTAACCTGCAGCACGATTTTTTTCTACCCAGACTAATATTTTCAGTTTACTATTATTTTTGTGTTAAAATTATAAAACCCTTTGCCCAGTTTTACATATTAAGCCATCGCTTTATACTCTTCGTTCAACAAAAATTGTTCAACAAAAAGTGAGGATAGGGCGCACACACTGAGCACTTAAGCCCGTGAGGGTCATACAGGGCCTGGGAAATGAGAGGCAATCAGGAATTAAATAGGGAACAGATAAGCAGCTTTAATGCAATGGATCAAGAGCACTTCATCAAGACGCCCTCCTATGCATTTCACAGTGGACAACAAATTTGTAAGACAACGGGAACACTTATTGAATACTCAAGATTAAACAATGTTGATTGAAGCTGGATCTACATAGAATAAGCTTTGACAGGGACAAAGTTTCGCTCTGTGTAGAGCTTCATTAAGTCATGACTCATAAAGCTCTAAACAGAGTGAAAACTTTCTGTAATGTGTTGTTTTCCTCACATGACAATTCATTTAACCGGATTACTCGGACCAAATCCCCCCCCCCCCCGACAAACACACCAGGAGCTATGACTCGACCCCTACAACCAAAAATAGATGAGCTCTCTCTCTCTCTCTCTCTCTCTCTCTCTCTCTCTCTCTCTCTCTCTCTCTCTCTCTCTCTCTCTCTCTCTCTCTCTCTCACACACACACACACACACACACACACACACACACACACACACACACTTTAATGAATGATATACAGTCAGGATAACCACCGCTAGGTGTGCATACAAACTGGGCGGGTAACCACATGATAACAGTCTAAAAGTTATAAATTTCTTTACTATTTCATAAATGTACTGGTGCATCGCGTAATGAAAATTGCTAAGGATGGAAAAAAAATAGCAAGGAATTGAGAGAATGTGATTATTGACAGATTACATAAATTCGCAAGTCCCAGGGAGAGAGGTTAGTTATGGTAGCCGCCACCACGGCGAGTGGCACCACTGTCCAGGCTCGCAGCCCCGGCTAAATTAATGGAGCAGACAGGTGTACACATACACATGTATTCGTAAACGCATACAGACACGCGCACGCGCGCACACACAGGTGTACATATCCATATGTAACATAAATACCTACAAACATGCAACCACAGTTGACACACACAGAGAGACGTACGCACAAGTGTCATACATACACCCCATTATACACGCAGGTTACAAACTCAGGTGTGCATACACATGCACAAGTGTACATAAGCAGACACACTCAGGTGTATATAGACGCTCACAGATGTAACAATGTTGTCTCAAAGCTTCACAAAACATGACATAATAGTATTTTTCATGACATTAACCACGCCATCATCCTCCTCATTCTGTATCTATAACCTTCCTTCTTCCACTGCCCTTTCCGCTTCCCTCTTCCTCTCCCCCTCCCTTCCCCGGCTTCTGCCTCTCCCTCGAAACTGACCATTTCAACTGATGACACCGTGAGAATATACTTCCTTCCCTCACCTCCATCCCTCCCTCTCTTCTCTCATCTTCCATCCCCCTCCCTCAGTAATACACCCTCTTTTAAATTCTCTTTTCTTAATTTCTCATTATGTCATCCATTCTCTTCCCTTCCCATTCTTTATTTTCTATCCTCCTGCATCTTTGCGTTCCATATTCCCTTCTCACTCCTCCCACCCTATTTCCTCCTTCCCTCTCATCTTCCCTCTTTCCCCGCTCTTCCCTTACTCTCCTAACACCCCGTACTTTTTTCTCCTCCCTCCCCATCCCCCATTCTCCCTTCCCAAATATTCTTCCAATCCCTCTCTCCCCTTCACTCTCCTCCCTCTCATCCTCCCTCCTATATCGCCCGTTTTTTTCCGGTCGGCTGACTTGGCTTCCGGCGATTCTAGCGTAAAATGGGCACGCCCACTTGCCCCTCCCCCGGCGCCCCTTACCATTATCACCTTTATTACCACCACTACCACCATCATCACTATCACTACCACCACTATCAGTACCACCACTATCACTACCATCACCATCACTACCATCACCATAACTATCACTACCACCATTATCACCACTATCACTACCACCATCACTAACACCATTATTACCACTATCACTGTCATCACCACCATTACTACCACTAACACTGTCACCACCACCATCACTACCGTCAACACCACCATCATCACTACTCCAGACAGATGCTCATCATTCTTCCACATTTAATGCTTTATTTCCTTCACATTTTTCCAACATTTTTCTACCAAAATCCTTTGCCTGCACAACTTGATGACCAATATGACACATTTTGCAAATATATTAATATAATAATAATTGAAACAAAATAATAGTAATAAATAATAATAATGTACCTGCTCAGCTGTAGCATTTGATTCATTTTTCATACCAATGTATATTTTTCCCTTTACCAATATGCTTTTTTTCAAAAAGGTTTCTTAGTTTTTTAACGAGGGCAAAATTTATATATATATATATTATATATATATATATATATATATATATATATATATATATATATATATATATATATATATTATATATTATATATATAATTTTGTAACAATTTATTTTGAAAAACTTTAAATTTTAAAGGAGTCAGGCATATTCGGAAAGTTCGGCTTATTAATAAATAAATAAATATATATATATATATATATATATATAATATATATATTCCCCATGAAAATATCACTTCAACCCTTATGTGTCCCTTACGTCAACACACTTTCACCTATATATTACTCATTTTCACTCATCTGTGTCACACTCGCCAATAACTCACCTGACACTCGTGTTCATTATCAGTACCAGTCCTCCCACTCACCGGTACCAGTCCTCCCACTCACCGGTACCAGTCCTCCCACTCACCGGTACCAGTCCTCCCACTCACATACTCCACGACAACCACACTGTTAATTCATAATCCATTCATAGTATTTTTTTCCTCCTTTCCTTCCCCCTTCGTGTTGAAAATCGCCCAGTTTTTTGTTTCCTAATCGTTTATATCCTCCCATCCCTCCCTTTCCCCTACTACCCTCCCTTGCTTCCTCTACTCTCCATTCCCCTCCCACAATTCTAACTCGCTTTATGTATTCATCTATTTCATCAACTAACTCTTCTACCTTATCCTTCTACCTCAACAATACAGGTTCTAAGTCTGTTCAGTACGAGGTTTATTTTACTCAAGGTTCTCGTTTCCAGATATTTGTTCTCCTTGAGAATTTAGCGTGTCTTGCTCTCTTATTTTGTTCCTCTGTCTTGTTCTCCTGACTTGATTCATGTCTTGCTCTACTGACTTCAGTGTGCTCCTTCGTTATTTTGCTTTGCTGGCTGCTTCTTGAAGGATTGAAACAACCCTGCTGAGGCATACGTTGGCACATCTGGAGCCCCGCTCTTTGCTGGTCTCCCGTTCTCGACATTGCCTAATGTGCAGGGCACCTGACACATGAAACTTTAGCATGTGTAAAATATGAAATGTGGAGCCTTGTGCTCGTTAAATATCTTCATAGAACGGCAATGTTTTTCCTTCGTGGTCTTCAACTTCCATATTTATGTACGTGAATTATATTATTGTGATTATTATTATTCACAATTAGATATTAAACTGAAGTCATGAAACAAGAGGAACACATGCAGTCTTCGTAAAATGCTGCACGAATAATAATTCTGGTCTGAAATGTACTGTGTCAATCCAAGAGCACTGCTATGTAGGGCAGCTTTATTTTCATATGGATGTAGACAACTTGCCATCACATCTTACATGACCTTCAGTTATTTTACGGGGCGGACTGGTAAACCAGAAGAAAATCTCGGAGCTTTAGCCTGGTGGCTAAAGCTCCCGCTTCACACACGGAGGGCCCGGGTTTGATTCCCGGTGGGTGGAAACATTTCGACACGTTTCCTTACACCTGTTGTCTTGTTCACCTAGCGGCAAATAGGTACCTGGGTGTTAGTCGACTGGTGTGGGTCGCATCCTTGGGGACAAGATTAAGGCCCCCAATGGAAATAAGTTAGACAGTCCTCGATGACGCACTGACTTTCTTGGGTTATCCTGGGTGGCTAACCCTCCGGGGTTAAAAATCCGAACAAAATCTTATCTTATCACTAAGTGGGTCATACAAGACCCTAGCATTTCTTCTAATAAATATATATAATACAACGACCACCACACTACTGTCAGGGTGAGGAGGTCGTCCGTTCTGCATCGGTGCTCCGACACGATTTTATTATCTGGATTTAATGACAAACGCAAGTTTGAAAATCCATCATGATCGAGGACAACCTCGAAACCGACCTTCAGAATTACGTGAAGTTTCTATTATTTCTTGATGCGAAAGCGTACTGAGGACTTTTCTAGTAATTTATTTTACAAGAAGAAAAAGCAAAGAATCAAATGCGATCAAAATATGTTAACTATATCTAAATCACAAGCATAGTTACCTGTGCGGGTTCCGTCATAGGAAACTACCCTAACAACGTCCCTGACCCTACATACAACTCCCCACATCCCCTGCCCCTCGTCCTAAATACAAGCCCCCACGTTAATCACCTCATTTACATTACCCCCTCGCACTTAAATCACCAACTCCCTATTAAATTACCTCCCACTTACATCCTGCACACACAAATCAAGGAGAAAACCCAAACAGAATCCAATCCTATGCATAAACTAATCTCTCAAACTGAAATTCGAAGAATAGGAAATAAAAAAAATTATAAATTACAAAAGCGGAACAAATTTATGCATCAAGAAAATATAATTACATTTATTAGAAGAAATAAACTCGTGAAAGTCATTCAGAGCAATAGCGTTAGAGGCTTGATCCTCCCCTTTGGCTTAAGCATTGGCAAAAACCAAGGAAAAAAAAACTCGTATTATGCATGGGAATAAGAAAAGATGATAAAGGATACTAGATAGAAGATACTGACCGTCTAAGTACTGCAGCGACTGTGTTGGGGGCGGATGAGGCGTGCTTGACGCCGTATTAGAGGGCGACGTGGTCGTTCCTGACGACGATGACGCGGTGGAGGGCACCGTAGCCTGGGGCGGGAGGGAAGAAGGCACTGAAGAAGGCGGCGGCGGAGGCCCATGTGTGTTGGACGACGAGGACGACGAAGAGGAGGTGGTAAGGACTGGGTTGAGGCGGTGCTCCGGGAGGGGACCTCCATAGCCCTCCAAGAACTCGTTAAAGTCCGGCACGTACTCGTGGAAGGTGGGTGGGACGTGAGCCAGCGAGGCAGATTCCTCCTCCACGTCTGTAGAATATATAGAAAGCGTGAGTGAGAATACAGGACATATTACTATTCCGTGTCTGTAAAAATGACAGTAAACTGCGCATCTTTGAAGTACAAGGAATTAGTTGGAGAATAGTGACCAATAAAGCATGAGTGGAAGAACGAAGTTAAACAGAAATAAAGGGAGAATAAGAATACAAGTCATATTACTCCTGTATGTCTGTAAATAAGCTATCTTTCAAAATAAGGACCTTGATACCAGTGAAGGGCTCTTGACACAAAGAATTGAAGTTACACTCTCTCGATGGTTCTAATCTCATTGTCCCCCATTCCTGTGTGACCTAGAAGTTTAGCGCTCCTCCCATGAAGTCAATAACGCAAGAGAGAGAGAAGGCGCGAGAGTGAAAGCAAGCAATGATTTTTCTAATACAGAGAATACAGTCTATCCTTAGTTCAAGCTAGATATGTTTATACTCAAAATTAAGATATTTTTGGCAAAAACATTAATTTAGTGTTTTATTTTAAAAACTTAATAAACTTTTCACACTTTGATTGAATTAGAAAAATATTATATATTGTATTAAGTGTAACATACACTGACCGTATGGGTAATATATATGAATAATCTACACTCGGTACCAGTCATAGTGAATACGGGTTGTTTCTTATTATATAATATATATATATATATATTATTATATATATATATATTATATATATATATATTTTAATATATATATTATATATAATGTGTGTGTGTGTGTGTGTGTGTGTGTGATATATATAGGGTAGTAGGGGAAGTGGAACATTCAAACGGCTTCAGGAAGAAATCCAAATACTCTTCCTTGAAGCCTTTTTATGCACTTCTCCGAGGCTGTGTCACACAATTTACACCAGAGGTGAACCTCATATATATATATATATATATATTATTATATATATATATATATATATATATATATATATATATATATATATATATATATATATATATATAAACAAACTGGAATAAATCATTTTAAACATATATTTAAAGAATTATTTGATGTAGGATATATGTCTCTTTATAAATTAATATGAAGCTTTAATAAACCAGTATACGGTATATCCTAAGGTTTGCAAACAGCAAAGACACTAGACTACACATTTTACAAAAAAAAATTCGTCCGTACAGATGACTATATATTTAATAAGTGATGCTTATATATTTAGTAAATATATATTCAATAAATGATAACATCGTTTATTGAATTCATAATTATCTAATAATAATAATTATATTAATGTACCAATTCAAGGGAGGTTCCTTGATTCCGACAAAGGGCTTTTGGTCCTAGAAAAGGGTAATACATTCCCATTTCTTGGAACAAACCGAGTCAACCTGTCAGTGTATAACCCCACTAATACTGTGACTAAAATTTAGCCAGAATTTTTTTTCTTGATGTTTCTTGGATTATTAAGACAGTAAAGCGTGGAGAATAAGAAGAGCTAGAAATGGAAGAGGATAAGGATGAGGAGAGGGGTTGTAGTAGTCTTGTAGCACTCATAACTCTTTGTACATTTTAAAGCAAAGGTGCTACCTGTGATTGTGTCTCCTTGGACCTCCTCTTTTCTGCAACACTGCAAGCTCCTGATGTTGATTGCAGCACGTATGACTTAGAGCTGTCTTTCAACTCCCCCCCCCATCCCCGTCCACGGAGAAAGTGATTGGAAACTCAGTGGTCACCGGGGACATTATAGTCACTGGTGACTTAGTAGTGGCTGGTGATTCACTGGTCACTGGTGGAATAATAGTCATGCTGCATAATATGGGCGCTGGTGCGTCATCAAGACTGCTGACGTAGTTGATGATTGACACTGCGTTAGCACGAGCAAGGTGAGGGCTGCTTACGTAGCTGATGGGTGATGCTACGCTAGCACGTGCAAGGTGAGGGATGCTTGCATAGTTGATGCTTGACGCTGCGCTAGCACGTGGAAGGTGAGAGAGAGTTGTTTGCGTAGCTGATAGTTGACGCTGCGCAAGCACTTGCTAGGTGAGAGAGTTCCTTGAGTAGTTGACGGCTTGTGCTATATCAGCACTTGAGACGCTTCGAGAGAGGAGGGAATACTGTTTTCGTAAGTGAAGAGAAGGGTAGGGTGTGGCTGTAATTATTATTACTATTATAATTATTTTCATGTCTAGGGAATGTAAGGTAATCATATTTAATTCAAGGAAGGGTAGCTCCAATTCTTTGGAACAAGATTCCTTCACTAGCGCTAAGCATCATCGGTAATGGACCTGTTTCGCATGGGTCAGAAGGCATGTTGCAGTGTTCCTTCTTTTATGTTCTTAAAGGGACGGGGCGCGACAAAGTCGGCTGAGCCCTCCACCAGCCACACTAACGTTTGTTGACAAACTCGACATGCACTCGCTCCTTATACTCGTCTCGCATAGGTGGTATGGGACCCTGTACACAGTGAATGAACAAGAGACCCCAGTGTGCAGCGGCTGAACACGGACCCCCAGTGAAGAGACTAAACACGGGGTTTCAGATGCAGTAACAACACGGCAGAATTGTCTGAGAGTGAATGCATTCTTCAGTGGATTCATATATCGTATGGTTGACAATAGAGAGGAAAACACGTTGCTGAGCAAGCTTCATCAAGTCTAGATTAAGCTCTACAACACAGCAAAACATGACTTGGTAAAGCTCTACACAAGAGCGAAACGTTGTCAAAATTAAAGCTTGTACTGCAACGTGCCTCTACCTCAGAATCCTAAGTGACTTAAAAGGTCGCAGTGTCAGAGCTGGTTCGAAGTCATGGAATCTGGGAGGTGATAGACTTGCTACTGGGATCGAGTCTCTAGCTTCTGGACCCGTGAGAGAGGACATGGGTGACCTCAGAGAACCCCGAGGAAGATATGACAGGGCAGCCAGGAAGCAGTGGGGAGGGAGGGCGGAGGAAGAGTGGGTGAGAGGAAGGGGCGAGAGGAAGGCGTGGGGAGGGGGGTGATGAAGGGGTTGTGGGAGGAAAGATGGGGATGTGGTGGTAGGAAAGGGGTGGGGGAAGTGTGGTGCTCCCAGGAGTGTTCCCCTTCAGCGGGTGCCCTTTACCCCTGCCGCCTCCAGCCTCCCCCCGGGCAATGTTTCACCTTGAGGCAACGGCCGCCGCCGCCAGTCACTCATCCCCCCTCCCTCTTCCCTCCTAACAGCCCCCTCCTTACCTTGCAAGACCCACTACCCACCCAACAAGCACTCAACCCTCCTCCTAACCCAACAAGAACACCCTCTCCCAATGCCCGTAACTCACACGCCCCCTCATAACCCCACCTGCTGCCCCGCCTCTTCCCAATTCCAGGTGGAGGAGTGTGTGCTTGATGGGGTGTGATATTATGATCCCCCCACATCCCCAGCAACCTGTGCTAACACCATCTGAGCATGGGTGAGAGCACTTATAAGGCGTGTTAGTGTGTAAGCACCTAGGAGACGGCTTCTGTGGATTACTTTCTATGGCTAGGCGTTGAAATCACTCCCTCCCTTCCTCTTAGTCTCCCTCGCCCTTCTCTTTCCACTTCCTCCTCTATCAAATTTAGTGTGTGTGTGTGTGTGTGTGTGTGTGTGTGTGTGTGTGTGTGTGTGCAGTTGTGGATGTGTAATAAAACTTATGATTTTGGCTTAAATAGCAGCGCTCTTCTTGCCGAATAAGGCAAGCAAAAATTTATGTATGCAATAATTTCGCAATATATATTTATATATAGACTTGACCCTAAGAGTCAATAATAAGAGGTTATTTTAAACATGTCTTTTATATATATATATTATATATATATATATATATATATATATATATATATATATATTATATATATATATATATTATAATACATGTTTAAAATAACCTCTTATTATTGACTCTTAGGGTCAAGTCTAAGAGAAGAATCCAACTCTTCGTCGGTGGATGAAGACGGGAACAAGGGCATGCAGCTAGCAAGGTGGGAGAGGGAAAGGGGTTTGGAGAACGGAGAAGGACGTGGAGGGGAATGGTGATAGGGTAGCGTGAGAGGGGGAGGGAAAGGGTTGTGGGAGTATATTAGATGGGGAGAGGTGTGTTGTAAGAGGCGAGAGGGGTGTGAGTGTTATGGGCTGAGGTGTGAGGGATGGGGGTTGTTGACAGGAGGGGGGTGGTGGAGAGTGTAGACGAAGGGGATTTTATTGGGATGGCAGTGAAAGGTGAGAGGGTTATGATTGGAGGGGGCACTGAGGGGGTAGTGGAAGGGGTATAGAGGAGTGGGCGTGAGAGTTGGTGCTTTAAAAGGTAGAGGGCTGACGAGGGGATGTTGAAGGGAGGGTCGGAGAAGGGGTGGGGGTCGGAGCCCGAGTGTTTGTGGCGTCGGCTGTCGCTCCTCGCTACTTACCTCCATCATTTGGACTCACCGCCCGGAACTAATGACTAGGGTAAGGCACGAGGGAGGGGAAGTTGGGGGAAGGAGGTGCTCGAGGTGCAGGTGGAGGGGCAAGGGAGGCCTCTGGGAGGGGCGCCGCAGGGCACGGAGCTGGAAGTCAGGAGGAGGAGGAGTTAGAAATGAACAGGGCACACAGGTAGGAAGGAAAGACCTGGGAAACGACAGAGGGAGAGCAAGAGAATATGAGAATGAGAGGTAGGAGGAGGAAGAGGGAAGGGAGGAGAGACTGATAGTGGCGACAATTTCGGACAAGAGGATGAGAAGGATTATAAATTTGAATCTGTGTACGGTGAAATCTGTTAAAACCCGAGATAACAGTGAAAACACCGGAAAGAAAACAAACCACACTTGAGACTATGCAGAAGCGTCTAGATTTTCTACGATATAACCCTAAATCTCTAATTCTACAGGATGGACCAGAGGACTACCAATCACAGACGTCTGTCTGAGGGACGAGTAGCTAGGGATCCTGCTGGATGAAAACTAACAGCCTCGTGGCTTGGGACTCCTATAAGGATGGGCAGCGAGTGTTTGAGCAGTGTCCTTGGAGGGGTCCTGGAGGAGGAGGATGCGTTGC